CATCTGCTCTATAAGCCACGTTTCTGTGCATGAGATCTTTAGAAGCGGGGATGCATCACAGACAAAGTGGTCAATGACATTAGAGTCACAGAATTCCAGATTGAGGCCCAGGCTAAGTGGAGGGAGGATCACCAACATGCCAGCTGTCCAGCAACAGAGAATGAGTCTTCTACAAACACTGCTGTTCATGATGGTGACATAATGCAGGGGTTTGCAGATGGCTATGTATCGGTCGTAGGACATGATAGCCAGGAGAAAAAATTCAGTCACACCAAGAAGATCAGTAAAAAAAATTTGAGTGACACAGTTATTATATGTAATTGTCTTGTCACCTGTCGATATATTGTATAAGTATTTGGGAATGCAGGCAGTTGTAAATGAGATTTCTAAGAAGGAGAAATTTTGAAGGAAAAAGTACATGGCTGTTTTTAGGTGTGAATCCATCAAGGTGAGGGAAATGATTGTGAGGTTCCCAAGTACACTCAAGATGTAGGTGAGAAACAGAAAGATGAAAATCACAGTCTTCAGTTGTGGGTCATCAGTCAGTCCCAGTAGGACAAACATTGTTACTGTGTGGTTTGTCATAATGAAATTGTGTCTTTTAAAAAGGACAAAGCTAATGGAAACCTTGATTATTCCACCAAAGTTGACCCCATGTTGGAAAATCCTTTGGTCTTTGATTACGTTTTTTGTCTTTTAATAATTTCTTTTGCTATTATTATCATTGTTATTATTTTAAATAATTTATTGAGAATTTCATACAGGGATTAAGCACATAAGGTATTTTAATCAAATTCATGCCCACTCCCTCCCCTCCCACTCCTCCCATATCACCTCATCACTTTTTTCTGATAACTTCATGTACTTTCTTATTATTTTAAATGTGGCTTTGCGACTCTAACGTTCCCCCCTCTGAAATGTTAGCCCTAAAATCTTTTAAGCATTATATAAGAGCTTCCAAACACTTTCCACATTTTTTGGCCTTTGGAATGGAGTATGTAGCTAAGAGCCCCAAGGACACTTTGACTTTTAGTCAAGAAACTGGCTACTTTCCTTTGGGGTCTTTTTACCCTGACTGCCTAGCCAGTTCCTACCTCCTATTATTATCACACCATGTCTGAGGATGTTAATCCATTTGCAGATAGGGAATCAGGAAACAGACTGCTCTGGCTTCTTCCATGCTGAGCAGGGACGCATATTGAGGCAATTGGGGTACCCTTTCAGTGGGCGTATCTAAAAGATTACCAAATTGCATATGTCTAACCTCTATGGGGAAAAGAAAGTCCTTGACTGGTGAATAGGAGATATGAAGGAGAAGTAAGGGAAGTGTAACTAGCATTAAAAGTTCCAGACAGGGAACTAGAAAAACTCAGAACAGGGAAAATTTCAACTGCTCATATGAGAATCCACTGGAATTTCTTGCTGAAACCTTCCAAAAGCATCCTTCTATTGGTTTCCTTCTCTTTTTTTCTTTTGTCTGGATACAGAATTTGCTTTCAGACATATTGATAGCTGTTGGAATGGTTAGAATAAGTGTCAGTTCTCTTTAAAGGCTACTAGCTAGGGGAAGAAAACAAATTTTCTGTCACTTCAGAAAAATAGCGGGTTGTCTCCCTTAGTTACAGGTGCGCACTACAGTATTGCAGACCAAGATTTGAATCTTATACCTTAGCAGCACTTTCTGATTCAGAACAAAATCATCAATGAGAGATAATTTTCTAAATAAATTTTTATATGGACTTAAGCCTAATATCTGAGAATTGTAATCCCTTGGAACTCTTAAAGAAATATAATGATCACTTTACTCTTTGGTTATACTCTCCTTTTGGGTTTTAAGACCATAAAATTCGCTCAAATAAATCAATTTATATTTACACTTAAGTTCATTTGAGAATCCGTTCCTCACGGGTCACATGGACTTGGTCGGAGCCTCTGCCTCCTTTTTTTTTTTTTACCAATTCCATCTATGTGAAGATAAGTCAAAGGTCCTGCTCAACCATGGCTGGCTTCACTTGGAAGCAGGAATGAGATTTTTCCTCTGAGTTGACCCTCATCTTGTAGACTGGACACTGGTTCAAGTCCATCTGGTGGTGTCTCCATGTCCTCCTTGAACATGAGGACAAATGACTCACCACAGTTACAAGATGTTTTGAGTGATGTTCATAATCCCCTGGAACTTAGATGAGCTTGGAGGTGAAGGGCCAAAAACTGTCCTTTAATTCCCTCTGACCACATTAGTACAGGCCTCAAAGTATGGTTGTTAAACATTCTGTAACGTTAGTTCCACCAGTCTGGTTCTTTTAATTATCATGTGCTATGTAGATAAAGCTTGCATAAAAAACCAAATGTTCTCAGATGAACCTTGACTACATACATATTTTGTTCCTTAAAGTAGTTGACTAAACTATGACCCTCGAAATTTTAAGATTATGTGTGTATCATTTTTGTCTCATCTATTATAGATCATACCAAAGCTACTCAGACCTTCGTTATTTGCTTAGGCATTCTAATTTTTCTATATATTTTGGAAAATAGCTCCATTCCCATATCCTTTTAACATCTTTTACATTCTCATTTTCTTTTTTAATAGTTATGAGACATAATAATATTAACAAATTTTCTCTCTGTTTTAAGAATTCTTTTCCTGGGGATAATAAACAATTTTTATTCCCTTTTAAAATTTCAATGTACAACTAATGTTTGTTTATAGTTTTATTGGGGAGCCAATGAATTTTCTGAACTACTTACCAAGATACCTGAGGGGTTGCTGAGATGCGTGAATGACCTGATGGTATGCACACTGCAAAGCCTTTACCTATCATGGCTCAAGCCTTCTCTTCCTAGCCTATCCCAGATGGTATACTTTAGCCCTCCCCAAATCCAGGAGACCATGTGTGATTAGGGCCAAATTACATACAGTTAGCTGGGATGAGTGGCTGGATATTCTGGTGATGGTCCAATGACCTTCCTTGCCCCTCCTTTTATGAAGAAGCACTACCAAACATAAGCCCAATTGTGACAATGTTTAGCCATCAGGCACTGCTGTAGTCATGATGATGGTAGTTATTTCATGCAGAAGAGACTGTTGTACAGTATCATCTTATTAAAAGGACATGGTATTCAAAAGCGTTTGGTGTTAGGATCCATACCTGAGGGAGAACACACGTCTTATTTTTCCAAGTCTGTGTTACTACACTTAGTATAACAGTTTTAGATCCATCTATTTACCTGCAAATTTCATTATTTCACCTTTGTTTATTGCTGAATACGGTCTTTGATATCTTATTCCAACTTTTCTTCCCTTAAACTTCATTGCATATGTATTTTTTCGACGGAACGCACTTCAAGTTATTTCTGGAAGATATGTTAAAAATTTCCTCTCCTTGGAATAATAAAAATATTTTAAAATGAAAAATGTCTTTCATTCAATAGGCATTTTAAATTCAGAGATATCCGTGTATAGATATTGGAGGAGTAATTGAAAGAGGACAAAGTTAAAAATCAATTCATTGACATTTAAACATATTATGGATACACTGGATGTTTAGGACTTACAAATAGATAGCTTTGATCATTCCAGGGTGCAGCTACAAATAAAACTGCCTTATCTATACTACATTTCAAAATGTTTTGAGTGCTTCCATCCCATTACACTTTACCCTTAAGTGTTTAAAAATTTTATCTGCTCTTTAGGATAATTTTTCCCAAACAGCATGGGTTGGCTGCGATGGTTTTGTGAGATCAAGTTCTTCCGTTATTGCAGATCAAATACTAAAACCAAATATTACACACTCTTTGGCATATCCAAGTGTTTCCTTGAGGTCTTGTTATTATAAACATGTTAGAAATTGAGGTTCGTTTTATAGATATTTACATTTATTGCTTAAGGTGTTGAGGCCTGGCATGAAAATTATGAACATTTGTCCTTTCTTTAAACAACTTCTTCTTATCCTGTCTCTCTTCTCTAAATTTTAGTGTAAAATTATATTGTTTCCTTATGGTGGTGCAGAAGAAAGAAAATGTCTTGAGAACAGGCTTATTTTATAGAATGATTGCATGTTACATTTAACATGTTTTCTATACAAAATACCACAACTGATTTAAATTTTCAATGTGTTTAAGTCTGGAACACACTGTAAATACCGGTATCATTATCGATGTCAAAAATGTCAGATTTAAATTGTTAAGCCTATCCTCAAGTACAGTGTGATTTCATTGTGACTCAGTTTTGTCATCTTAACATAAAAATAATATTTTCCCTCATCCAATGTCAATGCTAAAACATTAAATATTTTTATGTATAATATATATGTAGTATTTGTGAGTATTGACCACAAATATAAACATGAGTGAGCCATAAATACATTTGAATGATTTCACTGTCCTGACTCACAATGTTTTTTCCTTTTTTCAGTTAACACATTCAGTTACCGATATAGTAATGTCACATTTTGTCCATTATTTATATTGAACAATTTATATGAAATTCCTCAAATGCTTTAAGTTTTCTGTTGAAATCTGGGAACTGATCTGGTAGAATGTGTACTTTAACTGGACAAAGTTCCCGGCGTCTCTCAGGACTCACCTTATTGTCACACAAGTCTTGTGTCACCTTCCTTCTTTGCAGTTTCTAGGCATCTGTTTTCTTGCTAATGCCTTTTATGTATTCTGTGTGTTTTAATATGTATTAACACGGAGCTCTGAGTGTTTTCTTGAACTCCTAGTCTATAAAGATGATTGCTTCTCATATCAGTGACATGACAAGTGCACCACAAACACAAGTGCAGAATGAAATGCTCGATCTACATACCCCATTCTATTTCTCTTATTGCAGTCTGTGTCATCAGACTACTGTGTTGTAGTTACTGAGTGTTTGCTGAATGTCAGATGCAGCCATAAGCATTTTACACAGCTTATCTGTAGAGAGTATCTTCCTTCCCTGCTCTTTGTTTCCCAATTCTATCTCCAGTACCCAATCTCCAGTTTCACAAGGAATATGTATTCCAAGCCATTGGTTTCTAGGTTTTAGTTTCTAGAAAACTGTGTATGGATGTTATTTTTTTTCATACCTAATTTCAGATGACTTACTGTTCCTCACTGTCTTTGTCTTTTACTAAGCCCAAGGTTTTCACAAGCTGGACAAATACTCTACCACTAAGAACCATCTTCAGCTCTCCTTACGCTTAACGGAACTTTATTAATACTTCTACTCTTCCAAACATTAAAGCGCTCTAGTGTTTCAAATAGTGCTATCTTAGAATTCTTACTTCAGAATTTTAATACAGTACATAAAAACTTCTTTATTATAGGAACTAGTTCTCCAAAACAAAGTGTAGTTGAAATGACAGAATTCATTATAGTCACACTTTTGCAGGTGATTGTAGCTTTCCCTGATTAGATATTTAACCACAATTACTGTTGTAAATATGATTTGAAAATGAACATCATGTTGAATACCTACACTATTATTTCCGATGACTGCTGATTAAGTCTAGTCACTTCACTCATAACAGTAGTCTAAGAACACAAATTTGTTTAGATTTTCTATCTTTAATCAATTGTATCAACTTTATTATCAAATAAGT